ATCATAATAGGTAACGCTGATTTAGTATCATCTTGTTTTGAAGTCCCATCAAGCTTTTGTTCTTCTGTCTCCATAGGTCTTAACATGTTGTATCTTACTGGATTTTATTATATGTGATAGTATAAACAAAAACTTTTATAGACAAGGAGATTATACAGAAACCATAGTTCATTTTCTGTTAGTTGATTCTAAATACCCTGTAATACTGTCATTCTCTTGAATGGTTTTACATTGTTTTGATATATTTGTTGCTACAGTATACGAAGTTATACTCAAAGATTTCAAGGAATGAGACAATATGGTAACTACTTTTATGTCGGAATTATCTTGTGGTGAAACACTATTTAGCTTAAATGGTTATGTTTTGATCTGCGCTGTTTTGTTTTTATGCCCTCTTTTATCTCAATCTCCATTTTATTATTTACTTTTTAATTTTTATCCTTTTAATTAAGGGAAAAATAAATTTAAAAATAGTGGGATATATTATAGTAACCCACTTTGATTTTCTATTAACTTGATTTGAAGCCCGTATTGCTCTCACCATCTTGTTTTGACTGATGTTCCTCTATTCTGTTTTGCTTGATAGTACCAGGTTCGAAAGTTTAGGCAACAGCTGTGAAGATAGTGGGATTCATTATGACGCCCATTCTGGTTGACTATTATCTACTTTTGAAGACCTGTAATGTCTCCAGTGTTTTGGTTTTGTTGGTTTCGTTCTTTACTGTTTTGTTCAATTTTATTATAACTGATGATATAGGTAATTCTATTTGAGATAGTGGGAGGCATTATGGTAACCACTGTTGATCACCTTGTATTATGTTTTTACATTATCTATTATGTCCACCCTTTTGATTTGACCGACTCTGTTCTGTTATGTCACATTTGGTTTTACTCTCTTCCAAAAAAGTAATAAGAACCGTGGGAGTAATAAAACCCAAAATGTGTAATAGTCATTGTACAAAAGAGAGGAAAAGAAAGTGCTGTAAACGATATAACTGCATGTATATTTAAGTGTATAAGATAGACAGTGATATGACTGAGTTTTGTTGGATCACTGAACAGAACTGTTTGCAGTCTCACAGTTTGAACGTCCACTTTATATGCTTTAATTTTGTAACTTGAACAACTATTTCTAAGATGACAATATGTAATCCATTAACTAGTGATTTCCTACTGTTTATTTTTTTTTCTGAAATTCTGTATAACTTGTACCCTTTTTCTGTTTTTTTTTTCTTTTCTCTCCTTAAATAAAATTTTTTTTTCATTGATCCAATAAAACTCTGTGATATCATTTTCTATCTTATACACTTAAATATACATGCAGTTATATAGTTTAGAGCACTTTCTTTTCCTCTCTTTTGTACAATGACTATTACACATTTTGGGTTTCATTGCTCCCACGGTTCTTATTACTTTTTTGGAAGAGAGCAAAACCAAATGTGACATAACAGAACAGAATCGGTCAAGTCAAAAGGGTGGACATAATAGATAATGTAAAAACATAATACAAGGTGATCAACAATGGTTACCATAATGCCTCCTGCTATCTCTAATAGAATTGCCTATATCGTTAGTTATAATACAATTGAACAAAACAGTAAAGAATAAAACCGACAAAACCAAAACATTGGAGACATTGTAGGTCTTCAAAAGTAGATAAAAGTCAACAAGAATGGGCGTCATAATGAATCTCATTATCTTCACAGCTGATGCCTAAACTTTCGAACCTGATACTATCCAGCAAAACAGAATAGGGGAACATCAGTTAAAAACCAGATGGTGAGAGTAACACAGGGCTTTAAATCAAGGTAATGAAAAGTCATAGTGGGTTACTATAATATATCCTGCTATTTTTTCCCTTAATTAAAAGGATAAAGATAAAAAAGTAAATGATGGAGTGGAGATTGAGATAAAAGAGGGCATAACAACGAAACAGCGCAGATCAAAACATAACCATTTAAGCAGAATAGTGTTTCACCACCAGATAATCCTAACCTAAAAGTAGTTACCATATTGTCTCTTTCTTTGAAATCCTTGAGTACAACTTCGTATACTGTAGCATTAAGTATATCAAAACAATGTAAAACCATTTAAGAGAATGACAGCATTACAGAGTATTTAGAATCGACTAACAGAAAATGAACAATGGTTTCTGTATAATCTCCTTGTCTTTAAAAGGTTTTTGCTTATACTATCGTACATAATAAAATCCAATAAGATACAGCCTATTTAGACCATTGGAGACAGAAGGACAAAAGCTAGATGAGACTTCAAAACAAGATGATACTAAATCAGTATTACCTATTAAGATGTCATTTTCTCCAAAATAGCTGTTCCTATCATCCAATCTTCTCTGCCTCATTTCTGTTGAGCTCTTTTTCTGTCAGTAGCTGTCAGTTTGTCTTCTTCATTTTGTTCTCTGCTCCATTCGTTGTGGCCTCTCTGCCATTATTTCTGGATTCTTTGTATTTTTCTTTTTTTAGAATATCCTGCAATACTCTCTGTAGAGTTGAATTGGTGGTTGCAAATTCCCCCAGTTCCTCTTTATCCTGGAAGCACCTTGTTTTTCCATCAATTTCCAGGGACAGTTGTGCAGGATATCTCAATCTTGGCTGGAGATTATTATCTTTCAAAGCTTGAATTATTTCCCCCCACGCTCTTCGTGATTTGATGGTTTGTGCAGAGAAATCTGCTGTAATTCTGATGGGTGTTCCCTTGTAAGTGGTCTGTTTCTTGTGTCTTACAGCTTTTAATATTCTGTTCTTGTATTGAATTTCTGGAATTTTTATTATTATATGCCTGGGTGTTGCTCTGTTTGGGTTGTAGGTAGCTGGGGTCCTGTATGCCTCATACATCTGAGTATCTTTACCTTTTGCTAAATTAGGAAAATTCTCCTGGATTATTTCTGTGAGTAGCTTTTGTAGTTCACTTGTTTGTGTCCCTACTTCTTCTTTTATGTTCTTAATCCTTAAGTTATGGATCCTCTTATCATCTTCTAGTCTTTGTATTATTGCTGTTTGTTTCTTTGTTATTTTTAAGAAGTTTTTCATTTCATTCTCCCATATTACAAGTCTGCCCTCCAGTTCAGATAGTCTGTCCTTAGTTTCTTTCAAGCTGTTATGCCAGTCTTCTATAGACTTCTTAGTATCTTGGTAGTCCCTTTAAACCTGCTTCACGTATTCTATGCTTTCTCTGTTTTCTCCATCAAACAATTCTCCCCTTTTTTTCTGTTCTTCCATTCCACCACCTGTTTTTTCTTGGGTGGTACTTAGCATTTCTCTAACTATTCTGCCTACTTCTAGCTTCAGGTCGTTGATAACTTCATTCCTGAATTGGTCTATGAGGCTCTCTATATGGTGCCTTATGTATATTGGTGTGGTGTCTGCTATTGCCTGTTTCTCAGAATTGGGGGCCGAGGAGCCTTTCTTGTTGCTGCCTCTTCCCATGCTGCCTCTTCTTGTCTGTTCCTTATATATGCAAGCTTATATAAGAGGCCCAGCTTCTCTCCCAGTCAGCCACAGCCTGATCGAATTGCGCCAGCTAGGTGTTCCCGTTCACCGCTGCGCACCAGGGAGTTGCGGACCAGGCAGCCTACGTGTCTCCCCTCCCGGCCACCGTCAGGCTCTGGGATCCGGGTTGGGACAGCCTACCAGGTCCTCCGGCAGCGTCACGCAGGCCAGGCACTTTTTACCAATCCCGCCCGAGAGGGGGATGTGTGGCTGGAGTCCCTACCGCGCCCTGCCCTCGCAGGATTGCTTGGGCCCAGAAAGTCCTCCGCTGGAGTCAAACTGTGGTAGAATGTCAGCTTCTCTCACTCACCTCACCACAAGTCAGTGCACGCCTCCCTGCCGTTCGCAGATTGCCGTTCTCAGAGCTTCTGCGCGTCTCTCTCCTTGCCGAGCCAGTGTAGAGGCAGCCAGCCGCCGCGCGGCGGGAAACCCAAATCGCGGCTTACAATGGCGCGGAGTCCAGCCTCCACACCGAGGCTTTTCTGTTCCTGTTTTAGCACCAGGAATGCATTCCAAGTTGGTTTCTCTCAGCCCAGTTTGTTCCTGAGTCAGCAGAGCATATCTCCTCCTGCTTATGTCTCCTTAATCTGCACCATTCCTGGCTTCTGAGCCGAGTCTTTCAGAGAGCCTCCGGTAGTTGTTGTTATCTGTCCGCCATGTTCTCCCGGAAGTCCCCTTAAATAAAATTTTTAAAAAATGCTACAGAAAAATAAAAAGTGGTGTTTCAAGTTACATGAGAACTAATGAGTATTCTTTTTAAATATGCAAATGTACTGGCATCCATTAGATAAGGAATATATTGAATACGAGAAAGTGACAATTTCATTGCTTTCAGCCACTGCCTTTGCTATAAAATCATCCAAGAAGCCCTAGTAACTCTGAATTAAACTAACATTCACAAAATCTAAAGATACTTGTTAAGGTATAATTTTCTTTCTGCTTTTTGTGCTCTTCTTTCTTGCTTTTTGCAAGATCTTGGATTTGCAATGAACAAGGAAAATGAGTACCATCTCCATACCCCCATCACCGGTGTGGGTAAAAATTGAAAGTAATGATTCAAATAAGAGAGGCAGCAGAGAAAGCCTCAGCTGGATGGCAGGAAACCGAACGAAAATCAGACTGCTCTTTTTTTAAAAAGGCAAAACAAACAACTCACAGTGAAGTGTACGTGAAAATCATGTCTAATAATAGCTCATGGTAGGCAATTCCCAGGAAAAAAATTGTTGGTGTGCTGAGAAAATTAGGGAATGCACAGTGTCTTGATGTGTTACTTAAGGCAATGGAGCTTTAGAGTTTACCTTATGTGCCATGTACATTGATTAAATACAAAATATATGCTGGCCATTTTTGACCATCATTTACCGTATTGATTTGTTAGCAGGGGAACTGTAATAAAAAAGCCATTGATTTACTGTCCTTATTTGCTTATGGGCTTTTTTTTATTATTAATTTTTCACTTTCTCTTTCTCTTTTTGGGATCATTTCCTCTAGACAAATGCTGTGCTTCAAAAAGTTAAAAGAGAAGGGCTCCCCGTGGAACAAAGGAATGAGATGCTGACTGCCATCCTTCCCTTGCTCACTGCCCGCCAGAACCTGAGGAGGGAGTGGCAAGCCAGGTTAGTTCTCTAATGAAACGGGCTCTGCGGTCCCTGAGAAATAAGAGCTATCTTTGGCTAAGCCCTTCCTTATTACTGGTCTCATCCCTCTCATTTGAGGAGCTATGAAAAATCAGCAAGTTTAAGATGTTTTCAGCTAGTTAGCTTTCCTATCCATGATAACCTACATTAATTATAATGCTCTATGGCGTCGTCTGTAGGTGTGTGTGATTTTTTTAGCCCTGAGTGTAACTGTTCACATACATGTCTCCATCTTGAGCATAATGCAACATAAGTAGTACCTGATGTAACATCAGCCCCTTTAATTCAGCAGGCTAGGACAGTAGCACTGCCACTTAGAGCAGATGTCTGGGAAATCCACGTAGTGCTGGTCTGTCCTTTGATTCAGAAAAGATTATTTGGAAGTGTATTTATCAGCACCAATATGAGAACTTACCAAGTAGGAATGATTTTTCTTATTCTAGTTTCTTTCCCCATGGATTTACCTGTGATTGCAGAGCTGTTACTGGCAGAAAGTTTGTATAAATCATCCACTTTTATAGAATTAGTATGTGCATAATAAATATGCTATCCTCCTCCTGTTTGAAAAACAGTTGATATATGGGAAGTTGGAACTCATTCCTCTAAGTGTGAGAGTTATCCTTCAGATACATGATTTGTACAAATTAATTCAATAATAATTCAGTATCATTTGTCTTTGAGCAAAAGGGAGAGGAACCAGGTAAATAATAATTTATTTTGGCCTAGAGTCTTATTTGAAGAAAGAAAAAATTCTATGTGCTTGGGAGTCAAGAACATTTATTGATAGCTCTAATATTATCCAAGTGACTTCATACAACAGAATTTACAGTCATTGATAGCTTTGCTAGTAATAATTATCATAAAAATAGATTTGCTTGACAAGGCTGTACAGATGAACATTTTTCAAGACAGGGGAGAGTAGGAACTATTGATTTTGATTGGATATTAGAAAGCTGCTTTTTCAGATATGTATATTGTTGCTAAATTCAGACTTGCACATAATCATTAAAAAATTCACAATAATATTTTTTCTGCTTTTTTTTAGTATGATCATAGTAAATGACACACATTTTCAACCACAGCAAGGACTGAATAATTTCCAGTTTAACTTTTAGTAGTTAAGTTTCAATTTTCTTTATAATTATAATTTAAGTGTTACATTCATTTAAGGTCATATATTTTATTAAATAATGGAATATCAGTGTAGGATATTGAATAGATTTCTGTGTGTGTGTGTGTTTTCTATTTCCCATGATGATTTTTATTAAATAGGAAAGAGAGGAATAATGAATTCCCTTGTAATCACTCTTTTATACCCCTTCCCTCCAAAGACAGCAGGGCCCAGAGAGAGAGCATACTTTGAGAATGGTTGTCTTTTGTTGAGTGCATTGGGTTTGTTAACAATAATTTCCTAGTACACCAAGTATCAGACAACGTGACCAAAATGGCCTGTTTAAAAGGAGTCTGGTTTCTGCATTAGCCCTCACTGCTAACAATTTAATCAGGAGCTGGAGCCAGTGTTGAAGTTGATGTAGTCTAGCATCTGAAACAAAAATTCTCAAGTTCTTGTGCAGGGAAGGAAGAAAGAAAACGCCTAGCTGCTGACACTCTGCAGACTCCCTTAAAACCAAACACCTGAAAGAAAATTTCAAGAGGGAGATGCCTTGAGAGTGCAGAAGGCAAAGCATCTTTAGAGTATTAAATAACCATAATCCTTCCCCTCATTTGATGTTTCTCATCCCAGTGCCCTATCTAAAAGCTCATCCATAGGGTCCGTCTAAACAGACAGTCACCATATACCTCTCTTTTCCTCATCAAAGTGTCATCTGGCTGTCTGGAATCAGGGCATTGCCTGGAGTAGCCATCCAGCCTATGGTGGTGAAAGTTATAAAACATCCACAGCAGTGCTCACTGAGGTGCCTGTGTTGCAGAGATTGGCCTATTGTGTACTTTGGAATTACATGAGGAAAAATGTGCTTTGACAGAAAATAATTAGTACTCCCCAAAGGCCAAGCAATAGGTTATAGCATTTTACTTTCATCAAAGCTATCAGGGGATCAGTTAGATTAGATAATAGAAATTTTTTCCTCTGAACGTTACATACAGATGACTCTAATTATCTTATATTACACGTTAGAGAATGCATTATGAACTGTACAGCTTCAAGAAATTTAGGTCAACCGAGACTCTGCAGCTGGCAATAACTTTAGTATGCGTCTATTGTAATAAACCCTCTCTTCAGCAGGTTCATTTGCAGTCGTGGTATTAGGGAGAGTAAAAAGAGTGAAACTTACAACTTGCTCCTAAAACATTGGTTTCTCTTTGAGCCCAGGAACTGAGCCATTGTTTGGGGACTGTCTGCAGTCTTTTTAAACTGAAAGCATATGTTCCCTGTAATTTAGCATCTTGAGGAAAGTGTCAATTCTGCATGACTCAGGGTAACCGAGTTTGTCACAGTGTCACACAACCCTGCGATTCTAGAGGCACATCTGAGTGCTGTGGGTTTCCTTCCCTAAAATGAGTAATCCCATAAACAGCCCTCTCCAAATAGGCTTATTAGGGCTGTCTATTCACTTCCCCAGAGTTGAATGATCCAAAGTACATCAGGAGCCGCTGTGTGAATGCAGGGTAAGTGTTAACAGAAGTGGGACAGAATTTCTGAAGATTTGGCTTTGTTTATACAGTCCACTCTGCCTGATGGACAGCTTGTTATAGCTTTTAAAGAACTGGGCAAGCCCTCTGATCTGACCCCTTCTTGACCTCCACAGCCCAAAGGTCAGCCTGCAGCTAATAAGCTCAGAGGTTCTTAGGGTCTACTGTAGGAGAAGGCAGAAAAAGAGCAGCTGCAAGGACTGGGTATCCCAGGATCGGCTGCTTTGGGGTCACTCTCTGATAATGAAAATGATTACCAAATTATATGGAAGTTTAACCGCAATAGTGAGTAAGAGGAGGGTGGAGCCCAGCGTATTAGGTTTGATAAATGAACTGTGAAGAGGCCCATCTGGCTCTCAACATCTCTTCTCCCCCTCTTTCCCTACCAAGGGGAAACATTTTAAAATAACAGCAGTACATATAGACTCAATGACCCATGCAAGGAGCTGGAATGGATTAAGATTTAATGGTGACAGTGGAAGGAATTATCATTTGAAAAGTGCACCAAAGAAAAGGTACAGTTCAGTGTCCACGCCTGAGTTGTTTTTCTCTATAAAATATGAAAATTGGTGCTTTTATTTTATACACATCCTCAGTATCCTTAATAGATTGCTGAAAATTTTGAGGGCATTGTTTATCAGTATTTTAATTATTTGTGGCTTATCTTCAAGGGAGGAGTATTCCTCCTTTGCCTTGAACATGTTAGATTGAAAAACATTTTGTTTCTTCCGGCTTGTCCAGTTTCAGTGATGTAGGTTAATCAAGTATTAGAGAAAATGCATTACAATAAAATGGTTTCTATTTCAACATCTGACTGTTGTGCATTTTTCAATACATTTGATACATACATGTGTCTCATGAGCACGGTTTTATTTCTATTGTGACTTGGCAGTTTTTCTGTAAAAAGTAGAAGAAAGTACATCATGTTAATTGAGCAGATTATGTTTGTTCCTTTCTTTATTTCTCTTTCAAAGAAACATCATAGTAATGGTAATTAGTGCTAACAATGCCTAGGTCACTAAAAGCTATATGTCTACTTACCATCAGTAGATAAGCATAAGCTACTTAAAGCTCTCCTCCAGTTTCCCAAGAACATGAAATATCCTGGTTTCAGACCTGTGATGCTGGAGACCAAAAGCTTAGTGCTTTTCAGAATATGCCAGGACTCTCCTTTCCGAAACAAGAATGGTCTTATTCAGCAAGCATCTTTTGTATATTTTGTATACAAAATACTGTGCCATATGCCATGTATAGTATGAGTTGTTTTAAGTAGCCAATTTTAAGGGTTTATCTAGTGATAAGAATGTTGAAATTTCCTAGAAAGAGGTAGGGGAAGAACGTGGAAAGGAAAGAGGTAGAGCCATCAGTACCACCGGAGTGGAGAGTTGGTCTAACCCATTCAGCAAAGTATTTAATTTTGGATGTCTTAGTAGACTAGGTTGTTGTGGTATTGAAAACTTCTTATACTAAACTACATTGTCTACATAATACAACCCTCACCCAGACTCTAATTATATTAAAAATAGAATTGCAAACCTTCTAAACATTATTCAGAGTTAGCATATTTTTTACCTTAAGTTTTGGCTTGACCACGCATATCTGTGTGGGAACTGAGAAAGCTGGGTAAAGAATAATGCAGTGAGATGAGTAATATGCTGAGAATAGCTGTGCTTTTTAAATTTTAAAGGTGTCCTCTAAAGTTTTGCTATGCCCAGTGCAAATAAGACAAAAGTAAGCCCAGTAGGAGTTTGAGAAAAAATTGAGATACAATTAATACAGAATTTCACATATCATAAAATCCATCATTGTAAAGTATATAGTAAATATTTTTGAAGTATCTGCACAAGAATGTACAAGCATTACCACTTTCTAATTGCAGAACATCCATTACCCCAAAATGAAACCTTGTATCTGTTAACAGCTACTCTCAATTTTCCCTTCTTCCTACAGTCCTGGGCAACTACTAACCTATATCCTATCTCTATAGATCTGCCAACTATGGATATTTTCTATAAATAGAATCATACATCATGTGGCCTTTTGTATATGGCTCCTTCCACTTAGCATAATGATTTCAGAGTTCCTCCATGTTAAAGCATGTAAGTACTTAATTCCTTTTTACTGCCAAGTAATATTTCAATCTGTGAATGAAATTTTTATTTATTCAGTCATCAGTTGATGACTTTGGGTTGCTTCTACTTTTTCATTGTTGTGAATAATGCTGCCACAAATATTCTTGTATAGTTTCTTAGAAAAGCTTTTGGAACTATTTCAACTATAAGTGACTTTTCAACTATAAGTGACTTTCCTAGGACCTAGACAGCTTT